TTAAATACTACATATCATAAAATTATTTTAGATACATACACAGTATTAATTTGGAATAAACTAATGCTTCTTTTTCATGACTTACAATTTATATTGAAATTAATGCAAATAGAATACATGAAATAACAAATTAAATCATTCTTAGACAAACAAGCTGTTCACACGAAAACTTTTACCTTCTTGAAAATAAATATTTTTTGTAATTTATTGATGATAAATCTTAAGCTATTTTTTTATGAATCAGTTTTCTTCTAGTTTAATTTTTTCTCTTCAACAGCTAATTTAATACATATAAAAATACAATATAAAAACAAAATTAGCTTTTAATATCAATATATATGGAATCTTATGTTTGCACAATCTCTTATTTTTTTTATAAATTATTCTCATTAAATTAAAAGACATCAAAACTCGAGCAAGTAATTATTCTAAACAATTTTGTTGTACTACCTGATTATGTATAATAATTAATATTTTTCAATTTAAAATAAAATCTGTTTATAAAAATGTTTACTTTTCTAAAATTAAACTTGCACAAATATCTATTCTTAACTATACCTTGGTCCAGATCTGCCATTTAACTGGCATGTATCAACCCTTTTTCTTGGAGGATCAACTGAAAATTAAATGATATAAAAATAATTATAAATTTTATATGTTTTCCATCCAAGTATTTAAATTTTCTTTATACATTTCCTCACCTGATTCTGAGCGATTTCGAAATATTAAATCTGTTTCATCCTCATAACAAGGTCGTCTTCTTTTCCTATCTAACAATAGGAAATAAATCACTTTTTCTGTATTGTGGCTGGAAACAAAAATTTTGAAGTTTATAAGTGAATGTTTTAAAATACTCAAATTAAAACTCTTAGAGCATTTTAAATGTTATGATAGATTAAATTTTATAATTTTTTTTCTGGATTTTTCATAAGAAACCTCTAACAATTAAATATGAAGACAGAAATACATGTGGTAACATTTGATAAAAATTAAAAAATAAATAATTATATTTTGTTAAATTTTAAAAGTTGCTTTATAAATCACACCATGTACTAAGTAGTTCTTGAATTAATTTATCCTTTTCTTTAAAGCATCCTAAAGATGTCATACTGGATAAGACATCAGGATCCAAATCATCAACAGATGGTATGATATGGGTCTATAAAATAAATTTTTTAAATTCAGTTAATTAAATTTCTTTTCATTTAAAACAAATTACAATAAATCACCTGAACAGCTTCCTTCATTGGCAATTCCAATTCTAATTCAGTCTTGCTACCACTAAAATTTAATTTAAAATAAATCTTAATCCTTTTTGTTTGTTTTCAAATTATTCATTATTTATATTACTTACGCTGTAACCCAAGGATGACGGGTAACTTCAGCTAACTAAAAGTAAAATAATTCTAAATATAAAATGTTTTCACAAAAAATTTTTATATATAAAATATAGAAATAAGAAATGTCAAACAAATATTTTTAAATGAAGAATAATAATAAAAATTTTAAAAATGTAAGTAAGTTACAAAAATACTATTTTGTTATTTATACTTTTAATTTAAATATAAAATAATGGAAATAATTTAGATATATTTTTGGTTAGAAAATTATAGAGCAATTTTTTGTAACAGCCTATTCTGTCCTAATACTTTTATTAACATCCCTAATGTAAGCTTATTTCAACTGAATTCTACATATCATAAAAGGAGTTTAACTAACATAATGAACTAACTCAGAAGTGTTAATTAATGCAATTTAACAGTGGATGAAGTTAAAAGAATGCAAATGTCCCTCTAGGGTCAAATTTATTAATAATTTATAATTATTATTGCCAAATTATAAGCCCAATGTTATATGGTAGTTGAAGTAGTGTGAATGCTAATGTTTTTGACCCAGTTAATGAGTCATTCTCAGGAATAGACAATTGAAAGTGAAATGCTAGTGTTGGAAGGAAAGAACAAATGAATAGATTCCAATAGAATAAACAAGTGTGAGAGATGGACTATGCCTTTAGTAGTTGATGTGAAAGAGTAAAGAGATATTGCCAGGCAGAGGGAGGGAGACCTTGTTCCTTCTGTTTATACACATGAAATAGTTATAAATTTTGTACCTCTATAATGCTGGCTTGAGATGGTTCAGATGATTTTGGCAACCAGTCAATCTACCTTTTTGCCAGGAAGTTGTGTGTAGGAAGCTAAAAATTTAGTGGCCTCTCCTCAGGCTCTTTCATATTTATGTTCAGAGAGCTTCTGATCAAGGAATCTTTAAATGTATCTGACATATGCCATGTTGATGCCACACTTGTCACTTATGGACAGGATAATGTATACTCCACACACCTTCTGACATTAACATTCCACTTTTGACTGTCCATTCAAGGATGGTCTGTAAACTGGGTCAAAAACATTAGTGTTTTTTTTAAACTTCATCCATTGTTAAAGGTGCTTTAATTAATTCAGATTAAAAGATTAACCTTTTAATTCAACCAAATACAAAGTTCAACCACAAAAATTTTACTTGATATAATCAAAATAAAGAGAAATGAAAATTAGATGTAACTTCAGAATATGCTATAGATATACTTTAGAACAAAAAGCAAATCTTTGGTTGTCAATTTCCAAAAGAAAGCAAAAATCTGAGAATTGAATAAAATTGAGTCCAACATAAGCAGAAAAGTTCAATTACTGTCATTTACTCTTCATCACATTCCCTTTTTCATTGAAAAACTGCTTGAAAATTTCAAAGGTGGCTGTTGACTAGTTTCTGCCATTTTTTCAACAGGAAGTATTCCAACTGCTCTTCAGTATGTGAACACCATCTAGAAATGTTACACTTCAAAATTCACAACATAGTCTTGATTGAATTGAGATCAGGAATACAAGTTAGCCACTGTAAAGTCAGAATTTTGTTTTCATATAATTAAATCAGTGATTTTGTCTTTGTGTAATAGAGTTGTCTTGCTGAAAAATGCACACATGCTGGGGAAACAACAAGCATTCAGATGTCAGAAATTCAATTTACAAAATTTTAACATAATTATTAGCTCTGATAGTGCCATGGCACATACATAAACAACTGACACTATGAGTTGACATACAGCCCCAAACCATTACTGAATTTGTTTTTGAATTCTGAAACTACATTGTTTTTGAATAGCTCTTTGATACGATAATGGTTGTCAGCTTCACCTTTCTGTCAGATCACTCTTCAATCAACCAAACAATATGATATTCAGAATACCAATTCATCCAACCAAATCACATATTTCCACTTTTGTAGATCCCACTTCAGTTGGATTCTTCCAATATTTTGAACTAAATTTAACATTGTTAGGTACAGTTTTTGCTTAGGATAATACAGGCAAAATTGAATTAGGCTAGCTATCAATGCACTATGTTTAGGAATGCTTATGTAAAACATTTTCCTTATCTATTCATTCAGTTATTTCTGTAACAAAGATGTTACAGAAATAACTGAATTTGATGATATAGTGTCTTAGCAGATGTCTCTATTGAGGTATCAGTAAGCAAGAACTTTCATCTTGTCAGTGTCACAAGACCCATCATTACATAATGTTGTATAATTAGGCATATGGCACTTTAAAAGATGGACATCTGATACAATTTTGCACTCAGAATATCCCTAATGATGTTTCTCAATGATTAGTTTGCAAACTTCCTCATTTACCTCTTGGCATTTTGTACAATTTGTTATTTTTTTTAAATATTCTGGTCAGTACTGCCCCACACCCCTATTTTACACAAGTCTTATTTTTCAGTCTGAAATAAGTCTTAATACTTATTTCAGGCAGGTCAATATGTACTGATTTCAGACACTGGTTGAACCTTTCTCACATGTGTTGGGCTCAGTTTTATTCAGTTCTTTGATTTCTGTTTTCTTTCAAGAATTAACTTTTTATGTAAAAACAAAGCTTTGGTTAAAGCTTTGTTTTTACATAAAAAGTATATACATGTATATTTATTTATTCTAGTTACATCTTATTTTCACTTCTTTATTTTGATTATATTGAATAAAATTTGTATGGCTGAACTTAAGTGATTTTGTACTTTAACAAATGTTTTTGATTTAAAATTTTTAAAAACAATTTTTAAGTCATTTTTAAAATAGTCATCATATCAAATAAAAAATAAATACAGCATATAGCATATGTATTGTCTCAATCACACCAGATTTCACATCATTATGTTACTGCTCCAACATTTTACTAATTTAAGAAAGAACAACAAAAGTAGATGCAAATCTTTTGTTAAAATGACATTTTTTTGTGGGCTCTTGCCAGGTGTCTGATTTGTTCTGTCCTCAATTAGATAAATAAAATCCCCAATAAAAATATTTTACTGGCTGCTGCATATCTGCATCTTGTCAACTCTGCCTTGTCCCTCTGACCATCTGAGAGGGGAATGTTTACAAGTTAATAGAAAAAGCTACAGGAAAGGGAGAAAAGGTTCAAAAACCAGATGTAATTTTTGAGTCAATCACTATTTCTCAATATATGAGAACATGTTCTATCTTCCTTGCAGTATTCCTTTTGTTTTAAATAAAGCAGTAGCGAAGTTTGTTTGCTAACTTCTTTTCCTCCTTTATGTGCCATAATGTGTATTTGATCAGCAACCTGTTGTTTGATAAGTTCAAGTGTTGTTTGTGGGATAAGGTTGTTGTATATAATTGTTCTTTTTTGATCGACTACCCTTTGTTCAGTGACAGTGAGGTGAGGATATTGTTGTGTGAATCTATGGTGTAGTTGTTGTCTGTATGCTGTCATGTTTGTTTCAAGTTTTGTGATTGCATAGTAAGTGCGGATGATAAACTCGTTCATTTCTGTTGTCCATTTCATCCATTGGTGTGGTTTTCCAGCCTTTGTGGTCTGTGGATACATTGCCACAGAAACACCAAGGCTAGGTTGATTCCTCACATCTGTTGAGGGCATTGCAGTAGCCATGCTTGGGCTGACGCTGCTTTCGCCACCGGTAACCAAGGGAGACTGCGGCCTATTTTACGAACGTGAGCCTCTGCCTAACCCACAAATGCGGATCTTGGTAACCCAGGCAACGTCCGAGCCAGTATCACACTTTTATCTGGTTACTACCATGATAATTATCTCCACAGAATGTGGGTGTGGTCACTCTTAGCTNTTGGCCAAATGAATAATAATAATTTATATTGTTAATTTAAATAATAATTAAAATTGTTAATTTAATTTGAATGTTTGAAATATGACACACGATAGGGGCGCCTCTAGTGTCGGTTATCAAACGGTTACGGGACGGACGGACAGAAGGAAGGACGGACACCTGTTGAATGGGTTATATATATATAGATAGATTAGAGAGGTTGCAGCCGAAGTTTTCAACGCGAAGACGTTGAAAACTATAACTTATTTTATATATGGGAAAAACCCATATATAAAATACGTCCGACGTACACGTTTTCGCGTTGAAAACGTCGGCCGCAACCTCTCTATTGATTTTGTAGAAGGAAAAAAGAGCAATATGGTAAATGCTGTATGTCAAACTAATAATGACCTGGAACTAATTATTACAGAATATAAGAAAACTGTCAACAAACTAAAAGCTACACTTTGGAGAAATAATGCAAAATTGGCAGATTTACAGGCGCAGCACAGTGGCGTGCCGTGACATTGATGATAGGGAAGCTGTGTTTCTGTAAGAAGCCGAATTCCAGGGGCAATCAGTTAATTGCGCGTCAGTGATGGTCTAGGGTCCATTCGTATCATTTGTTCGATAAGCCAGTAAAAACCGTAGCCTTCTCTAAATGTATTTTTAAAATATCACAATTACATNATAGATAGATTAGAGAGGTTGCAGCCGAAGTTTTCAACGCGAAGACGTTGAAAACTATAACTTATTTTATATATGGGAAAAACCCATATATAAAATACGTCCGACGTACACGTTTTCGCGTTGAAAACGTCGGCCGCAACCTCTCTATTGATTTTGTAGAAGGAAAAAAGAGCAATATGGTAAATGCTGTATGTCAAACTAATAATGACCTGGAACTAATTATTACAGAATATAAGAAAACTGTCAACAAACTAAAAGCTACACTTTGGAGAAATAATGCAAAATTGGCAGATTTACAGGCGCAGCACAGTGGCGTGCCGTGACATTGATGATAGGGAAGCTGTGTTTCTGTAAGAAGCCGAATTCCAGGGGCAATCAGTTAATTGCGCGTCAGTGATGGTCTAGGGTCCATTCGTATCATTTGTTCGATAAGCCAGTAAAAACCGTAGCCTTCTCTAAATGTATTTTTAAAATATCACAATTACATTCTGAATCGCTAGCCACGATATAAGGGCTACAATTAAAAATAAAATAATAAAAACTTAGTGAAATAAAATGTTTGGTGGATATACATACCTGGTACAAAATATTCTTCAATTGTATGAATATACTTTTAA